AGTCTTTGGGACACAAACCACATTTTTGTTTGGAAAGCAAACACCACATTACTGATACTACTGCAAGATAAACAACAGCACTAGGACTAGTCAGTACACCAGCTTTTATTCCCCAAGACATGACAGGAAGTTTCTTCTCTTTATTTCACTCTAGGTCTCCACCAAGAAACTAGAACCAATGGGTGCACAAAAAATGCAGCTTAGCAGTACCATGCCTCACAAAGAGTAGGTCCCAAGTTCCCCAAATCCCAGGGGAAGCAGCAGCCCAAAATTTTGGTCCTGCTCTCCCTACAAAATACAACATGTTGCATGCCTGAGAATAAGCAAAGGGAGTGGGGAGGGGGGGGGGGCACAAAAAAGCAACATGAGCACCTAGGCTATTTGGCCAATAGCACACAGCAAGAAGATGTACCATAGATCCCAGCTTTTCCTCAGTTTATGTCTCACAGAGATCAACAACTTTAGGGGAAAGTTCAACATGCCAAGACTATATCGACCCCCTCATAAAACACCAGCATGAAGCAGAAAGGCAAGACTGATTGAATCCCTTCAACATTAGCCTGACAGGCAGCATCCTCTCATAGTTTGACCTGTGCATAGTTTCTATACAGCTTACCTTGTCTTTTCCCTGGCAGGTATCATAACCTCCACCCAGGACTTCCTTGGTAAAGCAAGAGGGTACCCTGGCACAGCCAATCACCACGCTCTCCTCCTAAAACTGTTTGGTTTTGCATGCATGGGTTTACAGACAAAAGAAAAGCTGCTGTGGTACTTGGTTCCTTTTTACAATACTGAATACCTATTTGGCAGAGGACAAGAACCCAAGCCTCCTGCTTCCCAAGACAGATGTCCCATCTACTAAACTTCAGTTGTGCTGTCTGTTCCATGGAAGGTTAGACAGGCACAGATAAAGACACAGCAGAAGGAGGTATTGTTGTGAAGAACCAGATCCAAAAGTAACACTCCTAGACTGATCTCTACAAAAGAGACAAGCATTTATTTCATTTTTGCTATGACATGTGTGTAATAGTTCTAAATGCCCAGCTTCTCATCACCATCATGTCTTGCACCCTCCTAAATGTGCCAAAGCTCAGAGGCACAAGGAAACTTTACACATGAACAGTAAGCATCCACTGATTTTAGCAGCATCAATAAAAAAAAATTTAAAAAAAAGAGAAAAAAAAGCAAGCAGGGGTTTGCTTCCTTTTTAACCATTTGAAATTTGGACTCCTACAATAAAACAAAACAGGAAACAGAGATTAGTAGTTTGGTGCTCCAGCAAATTAAACACTCCCTAGAATATATTGGTTATACCTGTAAGACCCTGTGTCCTAGTGATAACTGGTCCCTAATTTAGGTGGTAACTCGCTCCTCGAATCCTAACATGATCATGCATCAGATGGCAAACTGATTTTCACATAACACATTTAACACATTTAAGAGTATTTTCACCAAGCACACAGCAGAGGCCTTGGGATTAGTGTTTCTTTTTTTTTTTTCGTTTTATGTTGGTTAGTATCACAGGTAAATAAAAACTTTGGATAATGCCTTCTAATGCCTCTCTATTCCCTTCCATTCAGCCTTGCTTACAAAGATGGTATCAATTCCTTCTTAAGAGCTACCCACAAGCAAAAGTTCCCTGGTATTAGCCTGAAACACAAGCATAGACAGACACTCTTTATTACTAGTGGCTCATCACCAGAAGGTAATGGAACAGTCCGAGATACAGGTACTTTCTGGTTTCACTTTGCTTTTCGTCATTTCTTCTGTTCTATATCTCACAATACTCAAGATAGTGATTACCTAGTCACCTGTTCTTTGTTTGGACGCTTACTACAAACAGAGTAACACGCATGCACCAACACTCAGTATTAAAACTAAAAATAAAGAAAACTGAAAGAACAGAACATTTTTAGCCTTTACAGATGACAGCTACATTTCTTTGTCAGTATCTTGGCCACTCCTATCAATAATTATGTTCTCATAAGGTAGAGGAGCAAGACTGATGCTGGGCAACTTCTTTCTTCAAAAGAAGTGTGACCAGCAGGTCAAAGGATGTGATTCTGCCCCTCTACTCTGCTTTTGCAAGACCACACCTGCAATACTGCATTCAGCTCTGGGACTCCCAGCACAACATATCCCACAACAAGGATATGTTGGAGCAAGTCCAGAGAACGCCACAAAGATTCTCAGAGGGCTGGAGCACCTCTGCTATGGAGACAGGCTGACAGAGCTGGGGTTGTTCAGCCTGGAGAAGAGAAGGCTCCAGGGAGATCTTACAGCAGCTTCCAGTACCTAAAAGGGGCCTATAGGAAATCCAGACAAGGACTTTTTACAAGGGCATGTAGAGACAGAACAAGAGGGAATGGCTTCAAGCTGACAGGAGGGCAGATTTAGGTTAGATACAATGAAGAAATTCTTTACTGTGAGGGTTAAGAGGCACTGGCACAGGTTGCCCAGAGAAGCTGTTGCTGCCCCATCCCTGGAAGTCTTCAAGGCCAAACTGGATGGCACTTTGAGCAACCTGGTTTCGTGGAAGGTGCCCCTGCCCATGGCAGGGGGCTGGAACTAGATGATTTTTAAGGTCCCTTCCAATCCAAACCATTCCGTGATTCTACGAATGCAAACATTCTTGTGGTTTTTTGTATTTGCAGAAAGCCTAGAAGCAGCCTACCACAATTTATGGCTATCATAAATTTAGTATAGATGAACTTACTACATTAAGCAGCAACACTTTGTTCACACCAGTCACCCACAAAACATAAGCCCCAAATCCAATTATTCCATAATAGTTTTCTAAGTAAACAAAACACCATTTAGGATTTGAAAACAATGCATCTTTCTGCAAACAGAGGCAGAAAAAAAAAAAACAGAAAAAAAAACAGCCCAAGAAGCTAGCACAGGGCTATGCAATAGTTTCATTTTGTAAGAAGATTAACACAGAGCAGAAACCTTTGGCTCAGGCTGGGAAAAAAAACATACACTTGTGCTGGAACAGAGTTCCCTGTAAAGTGGAATTTGTCCTGTTTGTTAATGCATCTCTGCAGCGATAAATCAGGGAAGAAGAAACAGCATCCTTACTTCTGCCCAGCATTACTCAACTCATGCCCCTTCTGATTTCAGTCCTTGTTAGGCACAATGCACGCACCCTCACCTGAGCTATCTGCTACGTGTTGTTGAACTGCAGCACAAAGTTTTGATAAGCAGTCCTGCCATTTCAATCATGCTCAACAGAGACAAGCTGGTCAGGTGTTTCTCCTGTGCTTGTTGAATTCAAGCTATATTTGGAGACCAACTGTTCTCTACCCTGCTTTCTCCAATTAAGCGTGTGCGTAAGAGTGGAGAGGTGAAGGTGGGAATTAAGAGAGAAAGAGATAGTGAGACTTTCTTGGAGTACATAAGGCTGTCCTTAAAAGATTCTGAAATGTAATGCACATAGTTTTAATTGCAAAGATTCAGTAACAACAGATGTGAAGGGGAAGAAGACCAGAGCACACAGAAGGGAACCAAAAGCCAAGGCTGTTCTGAAAGTTAAAAAAGATGAGAACATTTACATTTAGCTCTAAGGGCCAGAACAAGGAACTCTAACAGTCCAACACTCACCGCAGCAAAGTAAGTTCACTGCAGGTTACAACAGAAAAAAAAACAACTCTGTGGTCTTGACAGAAAAATGAATGGGATCCACCTGGGTTTGCATAGGGAAAAAATAAATTAATGTCCCTATCTGTGATTATGTTGAACTTCACTCAAAGGAGCAGCAGTTCAAGCAAAGAGCCTTGAGTGAACACCATCACCACAAAAGAAACACTGCCAAGACAAGTGGAGAGTTCACCACTTCACTCCCAAACATGCTTGTACGTATCAGCAATTCACTAATGGCAAACATGCATTACTGTACTCCAGCCTACCTCCCTTAGAGCAGGAAAGTGGGGGAAAGGCCATGATGTTTATTTTGGACTTGAAATTAATGAGTTTGATGACATGATGAACTAATGAGATTATTATTGCTTTGAAAAAGGAGCTGCAGTATTACTGCAAACTCTGCTTTCCTGTTTCACACCTGCTCTCTCCCTGATTGAGGGGGGCAGATGAAGATTCAAAGAGCAAAACACAAAGAGCAAGAAACACGTACATATATGCCATCAAAAAGTAACAGTCTCAACACAAAACTCCCCGTAGTATACAGTCTGTTTAATATAAGAGGATAATCAATGTGTTCATCGATATAGATGCCTACACATTAGGTTAGCAGCTTATTAAACCCATCAGCATCATCTGAACAGAATACACTCACAACAGCATCCTACTCGGCTGCTGCTCTCCGATCAATCGCTCTTCTCCATTTTGCGCTCACAAGCCGCGCACGCGGGTACAGCCCGGCCCTTCGGAAACAGGCTTTCCGTCTATTATTTTTGTTTCTTTCTTTTTCGTTTCAAACCACTCTCCCACTTTCCTCCTATCCTCCCTCCCACCCTCCCCTCACGCTCGGCGCAGAGCCAAGCTGCCATCCTCCCAGCGGCGAGCAGCCAGCCAGCGCCTCCGTCCCTCCGCACCCCGAGAAGGCTGTCCATCTCCCCCCGGCAGTGTAGGCTACATTCCAGCCGGGGCCCAGCCGCGCCGGCGGGACCATTGTGCCCATCCCAGCACCGCCACCACCACCACCACCCCCCTCACGCCCCCCCCCACCCCGGTACCCGCCGCCGCCGGGCCCAGCCGGCGCACAAAGGGCTGTAGTGCCGGTGGCACCGGCACCGCGGCCAACGGAACGGACCGAGCCGAGCCGGGCCCAGCTCCTCCAGTGCCGCCGCAGCGGGGACGGTGCTCTGGGGCCTTCTGAGGGGGATGCCCGGCGGAGCTGCCACCGCCGTCAGCAAAGGGGAGCGCCGAGGCGGGGGGCGCTACCCCGGCCACAGAGGGGCCGGCACGGCACGGTCAGGCTCGGCCGCCCGCCTTCCGCCCGCAGCCCGGCACCCGCGCCTCCTCGGCGGAGCGGCACCAACCTGCAGTCCTCGCCGCCGCCTCCTCGGGAACAGCCGGAGCTGCCTCTGCCCGCCTCAGCCTCCAGCCCCGGGGCGGGCGGCCTTGCGCCGCCTCCGCCTGCTGCTGCCCGCGGTGCCCCCCCGGCGGCGGCGGCGGGCTCGCTCGGCGCCGCTGCCCTCGGGAGGCGGGGAAGGGGCGCGCAGGGCGGGCGGCTGCGGGAGCCTCGCTCATTGAGTGCGGCAGCCCCAGCTGTCGCCGCCGCTGCTCCCCGCAGCCGCTACTTCCTGTGCGGCGATGGTTCAGTTCCTCCCGGGCCGCTGGGGGCAGGAGCCGTGGGGCGGAGGAGAAGAAGAGGCGGGAGGTCGGGTCAGATACCGCTGGCAGCAGCGGGCCGCTCTTGCAGTTCCTCCCGCACGGGCCAGACCTGCTCCACCCCCGGTCAGCGCAGCAGGACCCCAGCCGACCGCTCTGGCCGCACCGCGGAGGGACGCGATGCCGCGGAGCCGCCCCTAGCGCCCCCCACTGCTGGGCGGCCGCCAGGAGGCGCCGCCGCTCCCGCTCGAGGAACCCCTCACCGAGGCCCCTCTCCTCCGGCCACCGTTGGCGGCGAGCGGGTGTGAGGCTCGGAGCCGGTGTTCCCCGCTGGAGGGTGCGCGGCGAGCGCAAGGCTCGGGGAGGGGAGTGCCGAAACACTGAGCCCCGTCGGTGAAAGCCCACTCTCCATCTCAGGAGCGGTGCCTGCTCCCGGTCCCTCCATGCGGAGCGAGAGCCGCTTTGCTGGTGCACAGCCGCTCACCGGAACCATGGCTCGCTTTCCCCGCCGGCTGCCCTCAAGGAGAGGGGTGTTCTCCTCCGTCCGGCTGCCGCAGCGGCAGGGATGTGCGGGGCCTGCCCTTGCCACGTAGAGACCGGCGCTGCTGTCCCGCTGGGCTGGGAGCTGGGTGGTGCAAGCGGAGCTCCGGGCGCGCGCAGGGGAACGGGGCGATCTGTGTGGAAGGAACGCGAAGGTGGCACCGCGAGGAATCAATAACAGTAGGGCAGGAAACCGCTGTGTAACTGCGTTAATAAATAACGACTCCATCCCGGCTCCGAGTGAGGAGCAATGGTAAAGTCGGGGAGCGCCCTCAGCTGTAGGGGTGATGCTCCACATGCGGTAAATCGGGTGCCCTGCCAAGGACTGTACTGGTGGAAGTCCTTTACAAAAGGAGCAGGATATCACCGAGGTTATTTGATTTCGACCCAATAGAAAGCTGTCAATATCCTTGTGTTGTGTGCATCCTAAAGAAGCAGGTCAAAACATACCAAAAGGAGTACGAGTTTAGTCTGTTTTTCACAATAAGTGTTGAAGTATATTGGGGTTGGTTTGGAATCTTGCTCGTTCTCAGGGTGTGACGGGACTGAGTGCCAAGGCTGTTGCAACTGCGTTTTCTTGCCAGAGAAATCCAACTTGGTGAGGCTTTTACAGGTGATAATGAGTAGGGGTGGAAAGGTCTGCTCCTTTCTTGGGTGCAGTATGTGGGAATGCCAAAGTTTGGAAGTTACAAATCTTTTATTAGGAAAAAAAAAAATCTTTAAAATTGGAGCAACATTTTAAAATACCGGTATCTAGCGTTATCTTTCAAACACCTTACTGGTGCCACTAAGTAACTGGGCTTACATTTCACAATGGGGAGTGCCTGCAACTCTCGAATCTTTTTGTTTAAGACTGCATGTGTTCATTACCTCTGAAAGTCTGTTTAATTCGGTTCCAGAACAGAGATCTCGAGGAGACCACTGTTAGGCAATAACATGAAAAGACAATGGTTACAAGTGCTCTCCGGATCATCACAGTAAAGCAAATACTACCCTTGGCAGTTGTGGAAGACTTGTAAAATGTTTTTATTAGTTATTTAGATTCTAAATGTTCTCATCTTTCACCTGTGTTATGTAGCATTCAGAACATCATAACTTGACCTGCTTTAGGAAAGTACACACAAGTAATATCTAAATATTTATATTCTGTGTTTGCTTGAAGTGGTGTAAAATCCTTAATTGCTGGCTTTTTCTGCCATCACAGAACTCACTACGGGTTTCCAGTTTTACATAAGTTCCAGTATGAGGCAGAGATTCTGCCCTTAGGTCAAGTGCATATGCTGTTTTTTCTTCTATCTCCTCCACACAGCCTCTTGCCAGCAGTTCTGACTAGCCTTATCTAGTGCTGCTCAGCCCATACTGATTTGGCCAATCACAAAATCTTTGGCTGGTTTCCTATGCTGGCAGAGCTTTGTAGTAGGCTGCTGTAAATGACAGGAGCCTCTGTGGCTTCCTGGAGAACATCACAGGTGATTTCAGTCCCTTGTGTAGCTCAGAACTGTGACAGAATAAAGGCAACTGGCATCCCTCTAAGGGGCCTGGTGCCGTGTCTCCCATTTGTCTTCATTTTCCACACTGTAATACACAAATAATTGTGTTTTTTTATCTGTATGAACTTTAAGCATACAAGTCTGTTTCTAAATAAGACATAATTCTTTCAAGGAAATTATCTAATAGAAATAGCTTCTGACAGTTTGACTGCAGAAACAGAGAAGACATACTATCTTAAGTCAGAAGTTTTTTCAGATTGTATCACTAATGTGAAGACAGTTAAGCTTGCCTGGCGTGTCTCTGCTCTACATGAATTTTAACTACAGCAAAGTATAAATTACCTGGTTTTTCTATTTTTCTAATATACTGGTAGTTCTGCTTCACAGTGCTTATAATGCTCAGAGTGTTATGCATATGACAACCAAATGATGAAAACTAAAATCTGAAAGGATGATTCGTGCACAGGGTATTTTAGCGTGAGACAGATAAAGAAGAAAAAGAGAAAATACATGTGAAGTTTGGGAATAAAAGTGGTGAATATGGAAACAGTGTGAAAAAAAGAAATCCCAAAAGGTAACACCTGTAAAATTTGCCAAGAAATTAATTTCCACTTTTCCTGCCCAGCTGTGTTCTAACACCTTACTGGCAAATTGCATTCTCCCTTTCTCAGCTGCTAAGGGAGCTCTGTGAAATGCTGACCATTACGTCTGGAGTGAATGAGATCAGCTGTCCTGGTATTTATCCATTATCATCCCCAGGCTTAAAATGAAATCTTCCACAGAAGCAGTGTTTGCCATGTGCATGAAGCAAGATTTCAAATAAAGCACTATTAGCCTTTTCTGTTGAGCAAAAACCACTTAACATATTAACGCAGTTGAAATGTATGTAAGAGCATCAAGGAAGCAGCTGTTTCAAGTCACCCAAACAGGTCTGCAGGGTCTGCTGGAAAGAATCTTACAATGATCATCATTTGTCAATTTTTCTGAAAACATGAATACAAGTAGAAGAAGCAGATTTTCTCTCTACCTGAAGAGTCTCTTAGTTTTTTAGATGTATCATCCCTTTTGTACCTGCTGTAGCCCCTCCCACCCCAAATCTCATTCTGTTTTCTCAAACCATTAGTTTGAAATCACCAGAGGACATTTCCACATTAGTTTTCAATACTGAGCTGTGTCTGAGTTCTGTTCAACACCTTGGTCCAAAGGCAGCTCCTCCTCACTTCTCGTCAGCTGCAGTGAAGCCCTGATTAACTTTTGAAGTGAGCAGAAGCCAAGGAACCGTTTGCAGGTTTGTACAGCAGGAACTGCACCAGCCACTGGCAGGTCAAAGACACTTGAAGATAACCCTGAACTTGAAAATCTCATCTGTACTTGAAAATTCAGGGGTGCTCTGGCAAGTGCAGATACAGAGCATTGGTTATCTAAGTGAAAGCATGATATAGAAACAACACTTATATGCTTGTGTTAACACACACTATCCTAAATTTAAGCTCTAATTAGCTTGAGGTCTTAATCAAAACCACATGCCGACACAATGCATTAACATGCATGGAATATAGAAGATAGAGAAAAGCAGAATTCATCTCCTGAAGAGGTTAATACTTTAAATCCAACCTAACTGAATATCCGCTTATCTTACCAAATGTTCAACATTGCCTTTATAATCATTACTACCGTATTCTCTGTTTTGTTGTGTTCTCGGTAGGATTGTGCTGTTGATACTGACAAATGAACCTGTCCTATGAACACAGCTTTCTAACAGTTACCTGAAAATTATTTACTGTTAGAGCTGAAATTTACTGATGCATAAAATATATTTTTCCCCCCCTTTCAGAAAGCATAGTCAGCTTTCATTTGGTCAGTTTTGAATTACATAAGCATTAAAAAAAGTTCTATCACCATAATTACAAATACTTCCAGTACGTTAGAAGAAATATGCCTAGAAATAAAGAAGCACAAGCTAAAAATACATATATAGCAGTTATTTCAGAAGGGACTGCTGATCTGGAGTGCCTAACTGTGCATGCTTTAAGGGGCCAGCTTTTCAAAAGTCGTTGAGTTTGTGTAAACAGTTCCCTTCCAGATGTCTCCGGTACAGCTTGATTATTTTATTTTCTCTCTTCTCTCCGCTCTAGTGTTGGCCATTAGGAGTGAACTGAGGAAGTCTAATAGACAGGGTTGCTTATGAGACTGGGACACTGGAATTCCTACTTCAGGGATGCCAGATCATTTCAGGCAGAGATGACACCCCTAGGTTTCCATCTCCATGTGCTTAGCTGAAAACATGTCAGGCAGCTAAGCAAAATCTAGGCAGAAAACTTAGGCACAACTTGGGAGGTGTAGAAAGCAGCTTAAATTCCCTTCATGCACTTTAGACTCCTAACTGCTTAACTGTCATTATGGTGGGAGATGGATTTTACATCATATTAGATCCAAGTGTAATTTAATTTGGATTTTCCTGATGCCTTGTACATTGTTTTTGAATAAAAGCTTTAATGAAACTACCTACTGCCAGCAAGACACAAGTGTGTGCATATGCTTTACACATACGTATCTTTCAAAGGGTTATGAAGTTTAAATAAATAAAAGGAAAGAAATACCACATAATACTATTTTATCTTGCAGAATTAAGGAAAATCAGATTTGTATCTTTTCCACTGGAAAATTAATTATACTTCTTTAGAGAAGAGTCTTCCAATGCAAAAATCACGATGCTGGGAAACAGGTCATGCTGCTCAGCAAAGACCAAAACCTTGCACAACACAATGACACAGTACACTTTTTGCTGCAACTACAAATTTCTATACTTTCTCTTGAAAATGCGTTTGTTACCTTTGGATGCTTTGAGGTGAATTTTAGTTCTCTTCTTATTGCAAGGCACTTAAAGCTGAACCAAACTTGACTTACACTGAAATTGCATACTTTTTCCTGTAATCTGAGAGCTGTATCTTGTACATCTGCTTAAGGAAAAAATACCAATTTTTCTGTACAAGAAAAGCAGGATCACAGTCATACATGTAACTGAATCTGAGGAAGTGTTAGATAAACACTACTTCGAGTTAACACCTCTTAGCAGCATATACTTAATCTCTCTCTTAGTGATGTATTTTCAACCTCAAAAGCCTGAGCAAGCCTTGGTCTCCTAGCAAGGCCTGTTGCCCACTGCTAATGCAGGG